TTGAAGCTTCTGACATTAAACTACCTACAGCAGACTGGTTTACACAGATCTTGATGAAAAATAGATAAACAGTTTGTACATACAGGAGTTTTAAAGGGAATTTGTGTTTCTGCACTTGACAGAAACTGCCACTAGAGGACATTAGTGACATGTTTAAAACTTCTTGTTGGCTCTTTATATTGGACTCGAAAAAGCAGTGGATTTCATAGCCATTTTATTTATGTTGCCCAAAACAGCAGTGTAAAACCACTAGACAATAATGCAGTGATGCAACCATAACACATACCAACCAAAACAGACACTTCTTCACAGGCAGAAGACATGGGAGAAGTTGGCAACTGGTAGGATGACAATAACAGCAGTCGATGACTAAATGTGTGGTAGGAAGTACAGTTTATTTCAATGGTAAGTTGTTCCATGATTTATATGCTCTTTCAAAGATGCATAATAGGGTGAAGGAGAGAGGAATTTCACATTCCCTTCTTTGAGCAGATCTAGTAGGTCTGCTGCTTGCATTTTTATGCCTGATAAAAGAGCTAAGCAGTGGTAGAGCCTTGCCATTTAGCATCTAGTTTCAACATTTTCCCAACTAAGAATGTCATATTTACCAAGAATGTTGCAGTAAGGACTTGGGGTTTCTATGTAAAACCTTGAGAAGCTGCTTGTACAATTAAAGAGAATGGGCTTCAGAGTTTAACCGTTTGCCTAAATCCATTATTCAGTATGTTGGATAGAGGTGAGCAGTTTTGCTCTGTTTAAACAAGCCCAGGTCATAACAACACCACTGACTCTGGCCCTCCATTCACTGTCCTTTTGCTTGAAAATTTGGAACAAACTTGTTCAGTTATTACTCTCAAAACCCTGAAAACAAATAATGTTCAATACACAGCTCAATACCCAAGATGGCCTTTAGTGTCTGTGACTTGACAAGCCTGGGCCCTTCTATTGTGCAGAGGGAGTTTACATTAAAACCTATTTGAAGTCATTGTACCCTGCAGCAGTTCATTGTGTACTAGTCCCTCATCTCAACAAGTGTCAACAATTCACAACTACCTGTAATGGTAGATCCCCCAATAGTGCTCAAAAGAGAGACCTGAGTGTCTGCCTCAGCGAATAACAATACAACTATTTAACAGTTGTTGCATCCCCTAAAATAGTTAACACAGGTGCCCCCAAAGAGTGCGTTTTGTCACCCATATCATACACTCTGTGTACCAATAACTGACAAGCGTCTGCTCCAGCTCATGCATATTTTAAATACGCTGATGACACAGCAGTGGCCAGGGACCTAAAACCTGACAATTAATCAACGGAGGGTTTCAAGAGGGAAATTCACGGTTTTATTCAGTGGTGCTGACAGTCATAAATTTTAGGAAAAAAAGGACAATAATTCCTTCCAGGATTGAGGGTGAATCAGTTGAGCGGGTCTCAACTTATAAATATCTGGGAGTGGAAATTGATGAGTCTAAAAGACTACAACAGAGGATGTCCTTTCTTAGAAAACAAAATAAGTTTACAGCAGACTGCCGGATATGTTTTAAAAAGGCAGATCAGATCCTCAATGATCCGACTCATCCTCTCCA